CTCTGCAGTTCATCTGTGTATCTTGATATAATTTGGGGAAACTTTTTCCAGACGAGGAATGATGTTCTGAGATGAGATATAAAGTCTAGGCCTTGATTTAATTCTGGACGTAATACACTGGAGGTCCTCCTCAAACTACTCATAGGAGAAATTTGGTAAATTTACTGAGAGAGCTAAGAACGTAGAATGTGTTGCCCTGATTTGTAGTATCAAGTTGAACAATCATTTTTCTCTTTTTATCAGTTTATGGTGCTTTATTATGTCAAAAATTATCGTGGTTACACAATTCTAAAAATGGTAGTTGACTATCATAACCAGATTGGAAACAAATAACAATGAGGGTAATCCATTCTTATCCCCCATTTAGTTAAGCACAAGTGATCACGGTACCACTGAGACTTCTCTTGTTACTGCTTGGTTGAGCTTATCTGCTCATAATAATTTTGAATTTATTTTTCATCTTGTTGACCAATGCTTGCAGAATTTAACCAGGGAATATGCTTGAAAAAGATTTAAAAACACAAAAATATTTTTTTATTATTCTTAATCAAATTTTAAAAAATTAAATTATGTTTTGATGCCGCAATTACCGATGTGGGTGTTGGAGTCCAGATACCATATTAAGTACTTATTCTGATTCCTAGTTTTGGTTATTAAAAAGTATGAAGTAAGGGATGACAGTATATGTATTTACTGTCAGCAGTAACCTGAATCGGAAGTTATATCTTCCTTGAAATCAAGATTCTTGATACCTGAATGTGCTGTACATTCAAAAAACATTTCAGTGGTACTGAAATGTTGAATGTGCTCGGTTTGACTTTGGGATCCACATCAGAGGTCTCAGTGTTTTTTTCAATTGCTATATTCACATAATGTGCAAAGCAGCCTGGAATGTGACAGATATCTTTTTTTCATGTGTGCCTTTGTTTGGAAGGCTTGCCATGACCAACTAACGTACAAATGCTGGCACAAAACTCTGATAATTGAAGCTAACCTTGAAAAATAGTGATCCCTGACTAAAAGTTCGCCTGGGCAACAATGAAGAGTGAGTAAAGGTCTGTAGGAACGTATGTTTCCTTTTCCCTGGCGGCATTGTTTTCCCCTTCTTAATTTGTTGTAGTCACAAGCAGTTTTGGAGTGTTGTGGTCGTGTGCTTGATCAGTGTTGCGTCTACCGATAGTAGATCTGTTGAGGTTCGGAAAGCAGCTTCAGAAAGTCATCAAAAGCTGATGTTTTTTGAATATCAGAAAGTTTCTGCCTTCCTTTGTTATGAATGCAGCTGCAAGTTCCCGTGCAGCCTCAAAAACTTAAGTGATAGCTGATGCCACTTTATTAGTTGCTTATATATGATATCCTCTGCTAGCATTTAGAATTTTGCTCAGAGGAAGGATTTTGAGTGGTGTGCTTCAAAGTAGGGTTTTCCTCTGCACATTCTCCCAGTTAATCTTGTGGGGCTTGTGTTTTAGCTTTGGCTTGTAGTAAAGCCTATGCTGCAGGATGTAGTTTTCCCCTGGTGCCCACTTGCAGGTGGAGATCCTTTTCTCTCAGCAATTTCACGTAGTCTTCTCCAGAACATGCCTTTCTCTCGTTAAAAGTGGTTTAATCCAGGACAAGTGCCTCAAGTTTCTTTTCTGCTTTGTAACTCGTGTGTCATTGGTCTGGCATTCCAAGTCTGGTTTGTGGGTGCAAACTTCAAAAAGAGTTTATACCTGTTCCATTTTCATTACTTTATAGCAGCATCCCTCTGGTAAAATCAGAATTTATCAGAGCTATGCTGATATGTTTGTATCCTAGTTGAAAGTTCACCATATTCAAATGTAACTTTGCTATCAATTTCCAATTTATAAATGCTTTACTGGAGGTAATAGGATTTTGAGGTAGAAGTAATTATACTTTTTAGTAGTAAGATTTGACGTTTGGACAAATACTCACTTTATATGTTTTGTACATACTGAGACTAAACTGATAGAAGTAATTTCTAGGTACTCCAGAATTAAAAACTCTACAGGTGATCAGTGATTTTTTTTAAAATTATTTTTATTTGCATTATCTGAGGCACTGTAGTCATTTTTTTTTTTTTTCAAAAGAGACTTCGGCAACTTCTTGTTAAAATGCCAAGTTTAATTTGTGAAATTGCAGTTAGTTAGTGATTAATAGTTGTCTTTTAAAGTTAAAAGAAAGACCCACCGTAGACTCTCAGTTCTGATTGATGTGGTGGGTCTAAAATTAAGGTTATGATTCTGATGCCTAACTGTAGCTTCTTTGATTTTTGGGTGAACTTTCACAATTTTTAAGTTACTAATGGATCTTACTGTTTGTTTTTTAGCTCACTCACAGAAGGGTCTGTTGAAGGACACATTTTATAGTACCTCAATGTGTCCTTATTGGACGACACGTTATACAGTATCTTGAATTTGATGGCGTACCACAAGGAAGGATCTTCTTCAGCTACTTGATGTGACTATACAGTGAATGTGAAGCATTATGAAGTTTTATGAAGCATTATTTGCCAGGTTTATTATTTATCTAAAATATATTTAATTCTGTGCAAAGTAGAAAACATTTGAAGGAAAAAAAAATCAACTTGTTTTCAAAAATCTTTAACCGATGGAACTTCCATTATGTTGAAAACCTTTTGTATCAGAAATCTAATGAGGCTGGCACTTTTTTTTTTTTTAATACCCTCTTTACCTTACCCTCCTCACCCTGCCTTCTTTTTGTGCCCCATTTCACCTTTTCTTCCTATTTACTGTCTTAAACTGTATCAGTTTGACTAAACACTTGCTACTGGGTGAGGAATAATCTTTGCTATGTGAGGATGCCAGGGTATCTGAATGTACTAATTATTGCTGGTGGGCTGTTTCCAATTTGTAACATCCTCCAGACTAAATCTTGTGGATGAAGATTTTTTTTTCCAGTTTAGTCCATGTCAGATGTATTGCTTTATGAAAACATTTTATGGTAGAAATGCTACCTAAACCTCTCATTTTAATAGTTTGAATGATGTCATGATAGTAAGCTTCATTTCAGGAGGAAAAGGATACAGTGGGTTTATGTATAATACAAATGCTGCTTGTGAAGGGTTTGTTTTCTTGATAGGTACTTTAGCTCTCCGAGTGACTTTGTGTTAGCTCTAAAATCTCTGTGTCTTAAGAAGGTAAATAAACATTTGAATATAAGTTCTCTCTGTGATTATGTCCTGTCACCTTTTTTCTTTAAAAAAGAAAATTATTCCTAAAACACAAAAGTTTCGCCGCTTTTAATATTAAAACCTCTGTGAAGCCTAAAAATAAGGCTGAGTTTACTTTCACCTTCATTTCGCAATGAAATTCATACTTTTTGGTATAAGCAGTACTTAATTTTCTTGACTATGGTATTTCTATAACCAAAAGGATGTTTTTTTTTTTAAAGATGTATGTATTTTTAGCTCAAAGAATTTCATTACCGAGATTCTTAATTAAGTATTTTGATTCTGCTCAGAACTTGTTTTTTTGTTTCCGGTTTTAATAGACTGTTAGAAAGCTCTGTTGAGCAGGCATTGATTCTGTATAATATTATGAAAGGCTTCATTACTTTTATCTCTTACTATAACTTCTAGTGATACAAATATTTTGTTTAGTGCAGCATGACTTACTTTAAGCTCAGATTAGTTTAAAAAATCATGAATTAGTTTGGCAAGTATTAAAGTAGTTTTTGAGAGAGTTTTGGGCGACAGATCTTATGATCTTTTTCGAACTAAAAGATGATACTACAGAACAGTTTTCATTGAATTGTTACCAGGGTGTTCCTTAGAGTGACAAAGATAAAAGCAAAATTTGTAGTAAGACCCAAGTATTGAAGCTAAAGCTCTGATTTGATGCACCATCACAATGTTTTCCTTCACATCTTGGTTATTTACAGATGCATGTGTTTAGATGCATTTATCCTGTGATTGTGTACTCCACACATGAAAAAATGTTAAGCACAATCTGTGCGTTCCCTTTATAGTTATATATGACAGCTCTCTTTCCATCAAGAAAACGAGGAAAAAAAAAAGTTATTTTGTGTATAATATGATTTTCCTGAAAACAGTAAATATCTCTGCTTTTGCTGTATGTATGCACTATATTCAGGAAAAAAAAGACTTGGTAGTAATCTTTATACGGGATGATAGCATCAGTAAAAATGGGACCTTGTAATTCTATGAAAGTTTGAGTAGAGATATGTTTGTTTTTGTCTAGAACTACTCAGAGCTTTTGTTTCTCCTAGATGCAGTAGGAAGGGAACTATGCTGCACATTCTGAGTTTCAGAATTTTAGTGTTACTTTTATCTTCTATGTCTGTGTTTTTCTTTAAAAGTCAGGTTTGGGAATTCTCTTTAAAAGTGGTTTACCATTAATATACAAATACAGTAATTCACTTTTGCAAATAGGTACAGACTGAGTCACATTGTCAACTTCCTGGTTTTGCGGCTTGTTATTTTGAAAGTTTTGTTATTGAAACCTAAAACCAAACCAACAAATGTACATACAAGTAACTATTCAAACCAGTAAGCGTGTTATTTGGGGAAGCTATATACATGAGTGAGTTTTCAGGATTTGTATTGTATTTATTCTTGGTAAGAGTTAACTATCATGAAATTTCAGTTGTATTTCATTACAGGTAATGAGAATTCTGTAAAGCATTCTGCTTTCTAATGCCTAGTGCCCATAAGCTATGAAGGAAAACAATGTATTTTTCCCCCAAAATACTCTATTCCAGTAGGTGATGGCTAAAATGTGTCTAAAAGTTGCTTATCTTTTAACTTACACTAGAAATAACATTAACCAGGATTAAATCCAAATTTGAGGTCTATTGAAGTAGTTGTGGGAGTTCTCAGCTGAATACAGCTTCAGTGTAACCAAGCTAAAAAAATCTTATTTATTTTGAATATTAGAGGGGAGTTTCTGCAGATTTTTTTAATACTATTTTTGTTTTTATTTTTTGTAGGAAGATGACTTTCCCCAGCCTGAGTATTTGAGGTTGTCTCCATGATGAGCAGAAGCAAGAAAAACTGACAGCTATTTCTGGAACTCTGGATATACAACTTTAATTTGTAGGAACTCTTCCATAATGAAAACCTCATACAGTTACCTTGATGATAGCAGAAGGATGAGAGGAAAGTTATGATGGCAAAAAACAGAGAGCCACGTCCCCCATCTTATGCTATTAGTGTTGTTGGACTATCTGGAACTGAAAAGGATAAAGGTAACTGTGGAGTTGGCAAGTCGTGTTTGTGCAATAGATTCGTTCGTTCAAAAGCAGATGATTATTACCCCGAGCATACCTCTGTGCTTAGCACAATTGACTTTGGAGGAAGAGTTGTTAACAATGATCACTTTTTGTACTGGGGTGACGTAACACAAAGTGGCGAGGATGGAATAGAATGCAGAATTCATGTCATCGAACAGACCGAGTTCATTGATGATCAGACTTTCTTGCCTCATCGGAGTACAAATTTACAACCTTATATAAAACGTGCAGCTGCCTCCAAGTTGCAGTCGGCAGAAAAACTAATGTACATTTGCACAGATCAGCTAGGCTTGGAGCAAGACTTCGAGCAAAAACAAATGCCTGAAGGGAAATTAAGCATAGATGGCTTTTTATTGTGCATTGATGTCAGTCAAGGATGCAATAGAAAGTTTGATGATCAACTTAAATTTGTTAATAATCTCTATATCCAACTATCAAAATCTAAAAAACCCATCATAATAGCAGCGACGAAATGTGATGAATGTGTGGATCACTATCTGCGAGAAGTTCAGGCATTTGCTTCGAATAAAAAGAACCTTGTGGTAGTAGAAACATCTGCAAGATTCAATGTCAATGTTGAAACATGTTTTACCGCATTGGTACAAATGATGGATAAAACTCGTGGTAAACCTAAAATAATACCCTATCTGGATGCCTATAAAACGCAAAGACAACTAGTTGTTACTGCAACGGATAAATTCGAAAAGCTTGTGCAAACTGTGAGAGACTATCATGCCACTTGGAAAACTGTTAGTAATAAACTGAAAAATCATCCCGATTATGAGGAGTACATAAACTTGGAAGGAACAAAAAAGGCCAAAAATACATTTTCCAAACACATAGAGCAACTCAAACAGGAACATATTAGAAAAAGAAGAGAGGAATACATTAACGCATTGCCAAGAGCTCTTAATACTCTTCTGTCGAATCTTGATGAGATTGAACACTTGAACTGGTCAGAAGCCTTGAAGTTAATAGAGAAGAGGTCTGACTTCCAGTCATGTTTTGTGGTGCTTGAAAAAACACCCTGGGATGAAACTGACCATATAGATAAAGTGAATGACAGAAGGATTCCATTTGATCTTCTTACTACACTAGAAGCAGAAAAAGTTTATCAAAACCATGTACAGCATCTTATATCTGAAAAAAGGAGAGTTGAAATGAAGGAGAAGTTCAAAAAAACTCTTGAGAAAATCCAGTTCATTTCACCTGGACAGCCATGGGAAGAAGTTTTATGTTTTGTAATGGAGGATGAAGCATTCAAATACATCACTGATGGAGATAGTAAGGAAGTGTATAGCAGGCATCAGAGGGAGATTGTGGAAAAAGCCAAAGAGGAGTTTCAGGAAATGCTTTTTGAACATTCAGAGCTGTTTTATGACTTGGATCTTAATGCAACGCCTAGCTCAGATAAAATGAGTGAGATTCATGCAGTTCTGAGTGAAGAGCCTAGATACAAAGCTTTACAGAAACTTGCACCTGATAGAGAATCTCTTCTGCTTAAACACATAGGATTTGTTTATCACCCAACTAAAGAGACTTGTCTCAGTGGCCAAAATTGCACGGACATTAAAGTAGAGCAGTTACTTGCCAACAGTCTTCTGCAACAGGACCATGGCCGCTCAAATTTATACCATGATAGTGCCAATATTGATAAAGTTAATCTTTTCATTTTGGGTAAAGATGGCCTTGCGCAGGAATTGGCAAATGAAATTCGCACACAGTCCACTGATGATGAGTATGCCTTAGATGGAAAAATATATGAACTAGATCTTAGGCCAGTTGATGCAAAGTCCCCATACCTGTTGACTCAGCTGTGGACCTCTACCTTCAAACCACATGGTTGTTTCTGTGTGTTTAACTCTATTGAATCACTAAATTTTATTGGAGAGTGTATTGGAAAAATAAGGACTGAAGCATCTCAGATAAGGAGAGACAAGTATATGGCTAATCTTTCCTTTACACTAATATTGGCTAATCAGAGGGACAGCATTAGCAAGAATCTACCTATTCTGAGACACCAGGGTCAACAACTGGCCAACAAATTACAGTGTCCTTTTGTAGATGTGCCTGCTGGTACATATCCACGCAAATTTAATGAGGCCCAAATTAAACAAGCTCTGAGGGGGGTCCTCGAAGCAGTTAAACACAACTTTGATGTTGTAAGTCCAGTTCCCACTATTAAAGATCTGTCAGAAGCTGACTTGAGGATTGTGATGTGTGCCATGTGTGGTGATCCATTCAGTGTGGATCTCATTCTTTCACCTTTCCTTGATTCTCACTCCTGCAGTGCTGCTCAAGCTGGCCAGAGTAATTCTTTGATGCTTGATAAAATGATAGGAGAAAAGAGGCGGCGAATACAAATAACTATTTTATCGTACCATTCCTCAATTGGCGTAAGGAAAGACGAACTCGTTCATGGATATATACTAGTTTATTCCGCCAAGCGGAAGGCATCTATGGGAATGCTTCGGGCATTTCTTTCTGAGGTCCAGGATACGATTCCAGTCCAGCTAGTGGCTGTTACTGATAGCCAGGCTGACTTCTTTGAGAATGAAGCAATCAAGGAGCTAATGACTGAAGGAGAGCACATAGCAACTGAGATTACTGCTAAGTTTACAGCTTTATATTCATTATCTCAATATCATCGTCAGACTGAGGTTTTCACATTGTTCTTCAGTGATGTGTTGGAGAAGAAAAACATGATTGAAAATTCTTATATATCAGACAGCACGAGGGAATCAACCCATACAAGTGAAGATGTTTTTCCAAGATCGCCCAGAGGAAGTTCCCTTGACTATAATTATCCAGATTCAGAGGATGATACGGAAGGACCACCACCTTATAGTCCAATTGGTGATGATGTACGGTTGCTTCCAACACCTAGTGACCGTTCAAAGTACCGACTGGACCTGGAAGGAAATGAGTATCCTATTCACAGTACACCACTCAATTGTCATGACCATGAACGCAACCATAAAGTGCCTCCCCCAATAAAACCGAAACCACTTGTTCCAAAAACAAATGTGAAAAAACTGGACCCCAATCTTCTGAAAACAATTGAGGCAGGCATTGGTAAAAATCCCAGGAAACAGCCTTCTCGAGTGCCCACAGCACCGCCAGAAGATATAGACCCATCTGATAATTACGCTGAACCCATTGACACTATTTTCAAGCATAAAGGCTTTGCAGATGATATCTATGCAGTTCCGGATGATAGTCAGAATCGTATTATAAAAGTTCGAAACTCAATTGTTTTAAATGCTCAAGGTGATGAAGAAAATGGATATTCTGATAGACTATCTAGAGGCCATGGAGAAAGAAGGCCTTCAAAATACAAATATAAATCTAAGACATTGTTCAGCAAAGCTAAGTCTTACTATAGGAGAACGCATTCAGATGCAAGTGATGATGAGGCTTTTACCACTTCTAAAACTAAAAGAAAAGGAAGACATCGTGGAAGTGAAGAGGACCCGCTTCTTTCACCTGTCGAAACATGGAAGGGTGGCATAGATAACCCTGCTATTACTTCAGATCAAGAACTGGATGATAAAAAAATGAAGAAGAAAACTCAAAAAACAAAAGAAGAAAAGAAGGTAAGTTGTCAATTTTTGATAAGATGTGATTAGGTGAGATGTGTTACACTTTTTTTGCAACTTCTGGGGTGCTTCTAGTGAGAAGAGTCGAAGTATGTAAGAACTGCTCCTTATTTTGTCTTTAAAATTTTGATGTGGTGTGTGTTTTTTTTTTTTTTTGTCCCAGACTTAAGCTATATTTATATATAGTAATAGAAAAATAATATTTCTAATTCTTCTACAGTCTTGTTGATTTGATGCAGAATTCCCAATTTTGCTGTTTCTGTTGAAGCATGTAAACTTTCTGAATTAGATCTTAGCTTCCCTGCCTAGTTTTACCAACCACCTGCACCCTGCCTCCTGGTGATTTCAGGCTGTTAAAACTTCTCGTAGTGGTGAAGACTTCCAAGTGTTAACTATTTTTTCACTCTTCTAGCTATTACTTTGGTATATATTTTTAAAAAATCTTAAGTTATAGTTTATAGCTGATACTTTAAAGTTATTTAGAGAAAATATGACTTTTAGAGGCAGAATAAAAATTATTGTAATAATGAAGAAAGCAAATTTAACTTGATAGCTAAATCACTTGAATGCTTGGTGCTTTTAATAGAAGATCTTGTGTGTGTTACATTGACTTGCATTATACTTAAGTGTGTATTGCAGAAAGTTCTTCATACAGCAGTTTATACATAATTGTTCATGTTTTCACACTTCAGTCTTCAGTATGTAAAGCAGTGTTCATTTGGAAACAGAATTAGTCTATGTAAATTTTACATTTAGGTTTTTATTTTTGTATTACTTTTTTCTACTTTGTAACAGTTGCTTTAAAGTTTAAATATGGCAAAAGTTTCTCAATTAGTGTTTGTTTTCTTCTTGGAGGAAAATATTTTAAAATGTTAGCTTCAAAGAAAAGACGTTACCTTGTTGATCTCATTTTTTCCTAGTACTTTCAGACCCCAGTCTTCCAATTTATAAAATAAGGGGTCTTAAGGAGATGGGCACTGAGAATGATGCTGGGAGGCAGGGGATGGATAAAGAGTAGTTGAAGTAAGGTGAAAAAAAAGTGAAGAGAAGGAGATAGAAGAGTGGCAGGGGGCTGGAAGGGGAGGGGGTTTTTTTTTTTTTTTAAAAAAAAACAAAAACTAATGTGTACACTTGAGGCGTTATTAATTGCAGAAATAAATACTCAGAATTGTTCTGCTTTTTGCTATTCAGAAACAAAGATAAAAATGTTTTGTTTTGGAAAAAAACAGCAATAACAAAGTTGTGGCAAGCATATGACACTACTGCCAAAATCCAAAACATTGCTTACTACCAAAAGACATGAGAGAATTTTAAATGGAAGCCAGCAGAGTAAGTGTCCTTTGGCCTGAATTATTAGGCCATTGTTGTTGCTCCTAACCCCGTAAGCATTTGTGTGCTCACATCTCATTTATAATTCATTTTCTAGAATATTAATAGGTAGAGCTGAACGAACTGTTCTTGGGCTTTTCAATTATTGCAGAAATAATTGATCTGTAAGGGGTACTCTTCAGTACTCCCTAAAACTCCTCTGGAACCTATCTGTCTTCTCCATTGTTGTGCAGCTTCTTGCAGTTTCCAGTTTTCCTTTTTCTCATGGTGATTTTTTTTCTTTTTTACTGTCTTGTTAGCTGAAAACAAGTGGAATAAGAGTGTTTCTTATTTCTTGGCCAGTGTTTTAGAAGACCAAGGAGAGTTTAGTAATCTCACTAAAATGAGATTTGTGAATGAGCATGTCTGAAATGGTGCATTGCAGATAAGATCATAATAGTTTATCATATAAGCTTTGTTGTTTGTTGTTCTGTACTAGAAGTAGCTCCCTGATGCAACTGTGTGATTGCATGTGCCTCTTTCATATTGAAGTTATTGTCATCTGGTCCATCCTTGTTCTCGGTGATTTTCAAATGAGGGCATCCTACCATATAGCACTGTGTAGATTTCTAGTAGTCTATGAGTGTGTGATTGTTTTTCATTAATCTGTGAATTTGCCTTTTATGTTGTTGAATATTGTCCCGTCTCTGTCTCCACTTGTCATGGTAATTTCCTATATGTTGCTATCAAATGCTTTTCTAAAATGTACCCTACTAACGCCTACTGATCATGGTATTTTCTTTGCCTCAAGAAAAAAGAATGTTTTCAAAGGAGAAAGTAGTAAATCACTCCAGCATAATCTTACTTGTCAGAGTACATCTTTATGCTATTTTATGTTACTGCCATCTTCAAGCATTCTGGAAAACTTGTTTTTTAGCCTTGTGTGTATACTGCTCACATGTGGAGACTTACGCTGGTAGAGAAGTATGTGGAGGGAGAGGAGGAGGAAAAGAAAGTAAGGCTGGCTTCATTCATAAGACTTCTTAGCTGGGTTGGTATGTAGTACCTCACTGTACTTGAGGTTCTTTTGTACTTGAAAGTTTTCAAGTGCATGTTGTATGCCAATATTTGTAAAGGTTTTTGCTTTACGATTTCCCTTTTCTTGTATGAAAATGTCTGTGTTAAATTTTCTCATATGGAAGAGCACCTAGTTAATTGTGCTGTTATTCTTTAAAGAATCTTGCAGATGAAAGACATTTTCTGGAGTGAATTCTCCCTTATATAAACATGCTCTGCATGTTTGACTCTTCTCTTACTATTCTTCACTAAATGCAGAATACAACGGTCATGTGCAACTTTGACTCTACTCTTTCACCCTGTCTAATTAAACTTTTCCAGCTGAGAGATACCTGTGCTTGTTCATCTCCTTGTCCTTTTTTGAAAGTGCAAATAGGAATTGCAGTCATAGGTATTATGATAATGAAGTTCATTCAAAAAAAAAAAATTCTCAAGAGCTCTGGAATAGAGTATTCTTGTGTGCTTGTCCACCCCAGTCTTTTCAGAAGCAGCAGCCTTGGAAGGCACACAAGAAGTAATCTTCATTTTAATTTACTGGGTTCAGCCGTACGGAGGAACCAAAAGGAAATGAAGGAAATTTCAAGGGGTAAGAGAGTAGTGAACATTCCTAAGAGTTAAGGATCTTGCTGTGGAAGCCTTCTTACATTTGTGACAGGAGGAACTTTTTCATACACAGTAATCCTAAACTGCAGCTCTCTCACTGCTTACGTTGGTATCACAAATACTCGGGGTGCAATTCTCAACTGCTCTTTGGCTTTTTCATGGTGCTCCCTGTGTTCTCTCACATGTAAAAAAGTTTGGTAGAAACTACATGTATATGCACACACAAATACATGTGTGTGTGAAGTATGTGTATATGTGTTTTACAGTTAAATAACTGAAAATAATCTTGGACCTTTGTCTTAATTTATTGCTTTTATTTACAGCAGGAAAATCGTTTTTATTGCCTGTTTGGACTGGGAATCTTTAATCATGGAGAATAGTTGCAATTATTACCCATTTATTATAGAATTGAGGACAAAAAGTTTACCTGTCCTCTGGCCTATTTAGAGCTGTTATCTTTGTGAACATATTTTAAAATAGGTCAATTGCTTGATTTAGGTTTGTGGTTTGTGTTTTTTTTTTTTTTTTTTTTTTTCCCTCTGCCCTCCCCCCTGCAGTATAGTGTGTTTGTTTTGCTTTTTACAACCACCTCTGAGGTTTTTCCTCCCCAGCATATAAAGAGCATATATTGAATACATTTCTGCAAAGGAGCAAATACAACCTCATGTTAAATCTGCATGCTTTATTTTCTCTCCCTTTTGACTAATGTTTATAAATACTACTTTATAAAGTCGGTAGGAAAAATTAATTTGTAGCACCTCTGTAAAAATAGGAATTAGATTAGTATGGATATCTCTCACTTTTTTTTTATGGAAAAAATTATCCAGTGTTCTCCTGAAAACAAATTCTGATGACAGAGATCCTGTAATGTGCATTATAAATTATATGATCAGAAGGAAATTGATGAGAGTTTTTGACAGCCCGTTTTAAAATGTTTGTAAAACTAAAAAAAAAAGCTTTTGTTTGTTTGGTTTTTGGCCAGTATAGTTTTATTCTCCAAGGTCAAGTCATTTTTTTATTTCTTCTGTTTCTTTTGCCCTTGGAAAAAAGCTATTTGAGTGCCCAGCTGTATTGACAAATTAATTTTAAAGAAAAAACCAACACTTTAAATTGATATGCCTTGTAATCTAGCCATACTGTTTTTTTGAAAGAATGAAGAAAATTGTGCAACAAGGAATTCTGAATGACCTTCTGTTTTTCCTTTGTATTAGGATGATTTTAAAATGATCATCTAAAATGATTTAAAATTCATCCTAAAACTTAAATTTCAGTATTAAAGGAAAAAAAAATGCAGTAGCACTCGGAAGAATTCTTAATGTCTCTTACTTGGACATGTTTTAAAACATGTGATATAAGCAGTACAGGTTGAACATCTATTTTACCATGTTTCAACTTGTTAGCTCTCATTATAAATTCAAAGTATGTGAAAATTGTATGTTGAAACTACTACTGAAATAGTGTCAGAAACTTATATACTATGTATGTTTGTCTTGTTTTAAATAAGGCTAAAGTAAGAATGTGACAGATGGAGAATCAGCTTGGACTTTTGTGTTCAAGTGTTTTTGTGTAAATAAACTCAATGATTGATGTAGCAAATTACTCTCAAAAGTTTCACTATGTATTCTAGTGTCACTTTTTTTTCCTGAATAGTATGAGAAAAATCAAAATGCTTTTAAGTTTTCGTCGGTTTTGCCCTCTTGAAAGTTTTATATTTGTAATTATCCTATTGGGTGTCCATAATTTAAAAATTGTAGTAAAAAGCAGGAACTCTAAAAGTTGAAACAGGCACGCGGGGAAGAATGAGAGGGTATGTTAGGGACCATCATCTGCCTTATAGGCTTTAAATATTGACTTTTATCCCATGCAAATGAAAACAGGCAGAAAGTTTCCCTTATGTTAAAAGTAGGAGTGAAATGTGTGGGAGGTAGAGGAGGAGTGGCTGAACTTTCTTTGGATAAGCAAATGAGGACAGGAGTCGTGATGGGAAGCAGATGAGAGAAAAAAGGAGGAGCATCCCTTTTAAACAGAAAGAACTTGTTCAAGTAAGTGGCTGGGCTGCAGTGAGGATTGATCATTAGTTTGAAGGCTTCGTTAGTTTTCTAAGCTGATTCTGAAAGATAGTATTTAAGTGCGTTGTACTCTCAAGTCTCACAGCTGGCTGAAGCCTCAGACTAGTGTTTCTCTGGTGCAAGTGGCGCAACTCATGGTGGAAGTGGTGGAAACTTGCTTTAGTGCAGCTCACAATTCCAGGAAACCAAATTTTACTGAGCCCTGATGAGGCCACACCTGGAGTAGCGTGTCCAGATCTGGGCTCCCCAGTGATGCCCAGTGATAGGATGAGAGAGGTTATGGGCACAAACTGAAACACAGGAGGTCCCTCCTCAGCATGAGGAAAAGTATTTCACTGTGAGGTTGCACAGAGATGTTGTGCAATTTCCATCCTTGGAGATATTCAGAAGTGGGACATGGTCTTGGGCAGCCTGCTCAAAGTGACCCTGCTTGGGACTGAGGACTGGACTAGATGATCTCCAGGGCTGCCTTGCACCCTCAGCTGTTGGGTGAAACTTAAATGAAAACCAAGGACTTCAGCTTTATATGGTGTTGGGCTGATGTTTTAATTAATGCAGTGAAGCAGTGGCATAGTTGTCATACTTGAACCTTTGTGCTGGTTCTTGGTGCGTGGCTTGATGACTATTAGCACTTAATGACTATTGGCACTGTGCTGTTATGATTTAGGAGGAGCTTACAAAATTATCCTTGACTGTGCCCAAATTAGTTCTCCCTGTATTCCATATTAGTGTCATGTGTGGAGTGGGTGTATTCAGCTGAACTGTCTGTTGAACTAAAAGTACCATTAACAAAATCATAATCTTTCCACCAAAATTTAGAATATTTGAAATATTTTAACTTTTTCAGGTACTCCTTGACTAATTTTTTAATACTGAACTTTTTTAAAATACTGTTTCATCTAAGAATTTTTGAAAGTTACTTTTGCACTGATAAAGTTTAAGCTTTTTGTTATCTTGACAAGCTGATTCAAAAATGTTGTGCTATGATTGATGGAATAGAACAGCTGACTGCGTTTTTCCCAGGGCACAGGAGAGGGACTGAAAGTTAGCTTTCACTGAAGTTTATTTTGGTAGAAATAAGAGCTGAACTTTTTTCTGAAGCCGATTGAACAACTTGACAAAAAGCAAGTCTTTGGCACAGTAGCGTGTCTTTGTGTTCAGAGCTAGCTATTCACTTATTCACTAGACATACAGCTTCAAGTATGAAAGTCTCAAGTTGGGAAATGGTATATTTTTAAAATACTTTAAAAAAAATCTTTTAGTTCTTCAAAGTTGTATTGTCAATTTGTAACAGTATGTTTTGTGAAGTGCAAATTGCATGATTCAAAGCAACCACTGGATTTATGTATCAGAGGATAGTTTACCCACCCTCATGTACAAGATAAAAAGGGAATATTGAGGGAGAGAGTTGAATACACACTGCACAAGAGAGAGAACAAAAATACATAATAGCAAATAGTAAATAAATTTATTATTGTAGCTTTACGTCTTATCTTGCAAAGGTCTGATTTTGTGTTTATGGAGTGGCCCTCCAAGAATCATCTTTTTTCCTGCACTCTAATTTTATGTGAGTTATGGCTTTCTCTTTTTATTCTTTGGACAAGTTTTCACTTTCCAGGTTGTAGATCAAATTGGCAGTTTCAGATATACAGTTCCCCCACAGCTTCTTTTTTTGAGGATGCATAATGTCGCATTTGATATCTTTGTGCCTTAAACCTATTCTTCTGAATGCAGGACAGTCATTAGAAAAATATCCTTTACAGACATAGGTGGTGTTTCATACCATATTGAAGTATGTATGTACTATGTAAATATTTGTAATAGTCATTACTGTTATAATTGTTGTAAATTCTGAAAGATTCTAGTGCTTTCTGCTTGCAGCAAAAACATTTGTTTAATACATCATATTCTAATATTATTTTAATCAGAGAGCGTGGCAAAATATTTTTCCATTTACTGGATTTGAGATCTATCGTCTGAGTGTCTGTGATATTCTATTTATTCCCAAATGATGAGGATGTGTGCCAAACACCTTGGAAGACAGTCATTTCAAGTTGTTTTTTGTTTTCTTCATTATCTTGGTGTAGATACCTCTAAAATCTTCCTCTGCCATTCAACATCAAAGTATAACTGCTTTTAGCTTATTGTTTTACTGTGTATAAATCTGAAAATAAAGTGTTTGTTGCAGTGTTTATTCAGTTTCCATGTTCAGGTGCTATGCGGCCAATTGGTTGATTGTTTTATACTACCATCTCTGAATATTTTCATCAGCTTTCAAAGATGAAACATGCTGTTGGATTAAATGTAATTCCTGTAATTATCCAAAATGGAGTTATTAGCTCAGCTATGAAAAGCCACTCTCATTTTAAAAAATTAAAAACAAAAAAAGAAAAGCTGTTTATCAAATCTATTAAGTTTTCTTAGGGGCAGGCCTCCTCCTCGTTTAAATTCTAGGCCTGTAACAAAGCATTCATGCTTAATAGAACTATATGCAACACTTTCAGATTGTTTCCTATGTATTCCCTAACAGTATATTTCTAGAATGCTGTCTAGAATTTCTAGAATGGTTGCAATATAGAGATTATCTAGTATTTTTAATATGAGAGAACTGCGTTCAGAATCTTCAGTAACAGTCTGATTCTAAAACTTTCTGGTGAGATATGGTTATAGTTTTGCCTAATGAAGATTTTCGTATGAGTGTTGCTGAGTGATAATTTAGGAAGACTAGTCACAGCAACTCTCTAAACAAGTAGGATGTTTTTATTTTTGTCTCTGTTTTGGCTCTGTCTCTACCACACTGGGTCATCCTGCTTCTTATCTGATGCAAAAATGACCAAATCTTAGAAATGATCTGGGTTCTTTTTACCTAATGTATGCTATTGTAAAAGTACTTCTGTTTTTTACTTAGCTTGCCAACTTGGATGTGCAACAGATGGGTGATTTGTTTGATTTTACTGAATGGTGCTCTATAAGTTAATTACAATATTACTTGTGTATTACGTAATTGTTACTTAAATAACTGTTTTCTTGTTGCAGAAAAAGAAAACAAAGCCATTAAATCCTCCAATCCGTAGAAACTGGGAAAGCAATTACTTTGGGATGCCCCTACAGGATCTGGTTACAGTGGAGAAACCCATACCTCTCTTTGTTGAAAAATGTGTGCAATTCATTGAAGATACAGGTAAGGTAGCATTTTTGGAGGAAAAATTTTGCAATTACATAACAAGTAATGCCTCTCATTTTGCATTTTAAAGTACTTTTGGAATGTCAAAGTTGTTATGGGGAAAGCCTATTTGAAAAGGGAATAATTCTGTAAATTGTTTATTTAATATGACTTTGTGATTGCCTTTTCTCTTCATGTATAAAAATTTTTGATTTGCCTTCAACAATTGAACATTGAAATCTAACACTTATGTAATGTAATTTTGAGAACTGACTATGCTTTCTAATCCCAGCTGAATTTTAACCCAGTAGCATTCTGATCTTGTGTTTCTCACCATTTCCAGTATATTTAATATAATAAAAAACTCTGAAATTCACTTTTTTGAATCTTAGAAAACAGACTTTAGAAAATGTTTAGAAACTAAGCGTTTCAAACAGTGCTTTTTTCAGTGCTTTTTTGTTTTTATTTGTAAAGTTAGCCTTGCATGTTAAAGTGTTTCAAAAGCAAAAAAAAGTCTTCTGTTAATATTGTTTATTGTATGTACAGTGATTCCGGTGTGAAAAATGCAATGCAGTTTGTGTAAACTCCAGCGTAGCATCTTTGAGTGTTTGATAGCTTTATGAAACGCACTCCTAGAGTGAGGGGGGGGCGGTTGTTTTAATATGATGTGGTTTGTGGTGCTTCATTTATTTCATTTTTTTCTGGCTCCACTGCAAGTAAAATATGAATGGGTTTGTTTTCATATTGAGGTGCAGTTTCACAGTATGCCTCTCGCCCCCCTTCCTTCTCTATGTTTGACCCCTCTGTTGCTTTCAGTTCATTTGCTGTATGGTCAGGAGGCGAGTGCAGTCTCATCTTGCTAATCCAACAGCAAAGGCTACATTTGACAGTGGGGAGTTGTTTTGAGGTTTGGGTGTGAGCCGTGTGGTGGTGTTCGCCGAGTGCATCGGTCTTGCTCGCTCTGAAGGGGCCTGTTTGCTAGTTCTGAAACAAGCAAGGGAATGGAAATGAATGGCTGGCACTGAAGAAAGAGCAGGGCATTCTCTTTGGTGGGTATATGCTACTAGGTATCGCTGAGCAGAAAATGAAATACTTTTTTCTCAATATTTTCTTAGTTCTGTAATACAGTGTTGGTTGTAAGGCAACAGTGTTTTATCAGGAGTAAAACTTAAGGATTTTCTTTGCTTAAAATTCAGTTTTACTTCTGCCTTTAAGAGCTGTGACTACAGAGGTACAGGTTAGGTGGCATGGCTAACAGCTCTTTCTGAAGACTTGTATATTGTACTATTACAGTAAAATATTGTGGGGGGTGGTGAAACCACAGGCACTGATCTCTTGGAAGTCAGAAATGTAAGTATAAATCTGCCCTTAACCTTTATCTCTTACTGATTTCTTGCATGAAGGTAAGAATTGTTGGGGTTTTTTGTTTTTTGTTTGTTTGTTTGTTTGTTTTTGTTTTTGTTTTTTTCTTTTCATCACCTGACCCAGGGAAAAGTGGAGAAGGGGAAAGGAGTAATATAATGATATAGATCACTGCAGAAATATCTTGGTTTTGCTGATGTCTGTAGAGGAGGCGGAGATGAAAAGGGTATGTCACTGTCTCAGTTCTGGTGTTCTGGCTAATACATAATGTTGTGGATTGAAGGAGTCTGTAGAATTTAGTAGTATGCTGAGCTGAATGTTTAATTGAGAATATTTTCAAACAACAAAATTATAACATGAGATCTAAAGAAAATTGCTTAAATGCATTGTTGTCTCTTATTCCTTTTGACTGTGTAGTAGGCTTTCAAAAAGTGTAGTATTTGATTGCAAAGGGTTTGTTTCACCAGCATGAGGGAAAGGGAGAACTACGGTAGTGTGGAAACATGGTTACTATCTCATTTTCTCTCCCTCCTGAAGTTATCAGTTCATTTGGACAGAAGATTTAATACTTTTTATTCTCCTCTAATGATCTATCTTTGAGGTGTAAGATGATTAGTCAAGTTGCTGACTTTTTCAAACTGCCAGGGTCTTCTCAAAAGTGCTGACTTGGGACATCCTGCTTTGTTTTTTAGCTGACTGCTTGTATGTTTGCTCATCATGGAATGTTGCTCTGCAGGTACTGAAAGCAGGAGAACTTCTAATTCTGTCTGCACAAATACTGTGCATTCTGCATGCATTTTGTGTGGCTGCTGGAAGAGTAGTCCTACTGTTGCTCTTAATCATTTGGTAAAGATGGAATAAAACCTCTCTTTCTGCATCTTGTCACTTTTTAATTCACCTACATTGTAATGTATGCTGGTAACTTTTGATTGCCCTTTTCAAATCTTTTACTTGGATATGGAAGTTTTGTTTTTGTTATGACTTAATTTTATATTGAAGGAGTAGCAGTATTCTGTAGATTTTTGTATGAGGCTGAAGCCCTGTGTTGAAGTTGTTGTGCAGCTTCATTTTGGTAGAATTTCTTTGACTTTGAGAGAGGAGCATGTTCAAAGAGAGTGTTTCACTCACCTGCATTTGTCGCTTGTCCTGAAATTGAATGGCAGTATTGACTTTGGGACTGGCTGATAGTAAAATCCACGTGTTTGTCTTGGGTATGTTTGGCCTGAAGAAGACAAGCCAGGAGACGTTAGCTTTGGACTAAAGTCCGGGAGGCCGCTTCCTCTGTATGAGCAACTTGACCCTTGGCCCTGGGAGACATTCTGTGTTTCAGCTGTCCCTTGCCAAGTCAACCTGCTGTCAGTGCTAGCTCTGTCCAACCACCAGTGCTCGGTCTACCAAAGCTTTGCTGGGTGTCCTATGCTTCGGGACCTCAGCACTCAGAAACATCTTTCCTCTCTATAATCTGTTGCTTTAGGTCTTTTTGAACATGCACATAACCATCTTTCTTTCAAGGTTGGTCCTTTCACTCCCCAGACATTTGTGCAAATGCTGTTAGTAATCACTTTTTAAAACTCTTTAATCAAGAACTGCAGTCTGTTCCAATTCTGCCTGGATGAAGCTAATCAATGTATTTCTGTTATCTTTCTATCCTCTGCAAAGGACTTACCTGTTTAGTGTTTCTTTCTTTTCTTTTCTTTTTCTTCCTTTTTTTTTTTTAAAAACCACCTTTAAAGTACTTTTCTTTGTCTTCAGAGCTGTGAAGTGTATAGTATACCTTTTTTTTTCTTCTTTTCTCTTCCCACTTGCCCCTTGCCAGTTTTTGAGCCATATTCAAGGCTTTGGAGTTGGAAAAGTGTTTTCAAATCTCAGATTTGACTAGATCAGAATCTTAGGAGATAAAGTTAGCATTTGATTTGAATACCTCAATTTTTTCATCATATGCGGAAATTTTAAATTCTAAGAGTATGAGTCATCAAATTACCATTCTTGATAAGTCGTCCTTAAACCATTTATTAGTTGTAATTTGTTTGATCTTCAAGAGGTGCTTGCGTCTTCACAAAATTTAAGCAAAGTTTTAAGTTTCATATTTGAAAAGCAAGTCTTTGAAAGTCTTGTTTAAAACAGATTCTGAAGCATAATACATTTCCTGTATTTTGCTTATACCTGAGCAATATCTAATATACTCAAGCAGTATACTTGTGATATTTGGTATCAACTTGTTTCTAATCTTACAGAATTCAGAAAATGTGACTTCTAATACTTATAAAGACTTTTAAAAAAATTATTATTCCTGAAGTCTTTCACAAATGAAAAAAGAAGCAACTGCTGTCAAGTTTGGTAGGTAGCTGCTGGTATTTTATGTGCCTTGGCTCTCAGAGGTGATAGTTTTGGTAAATAATAGTTAAGTTTTCAAACAAACGTTATTCAAAATTATTTTCACTTTTACAGATTTTTTTTATACTTATCAAAAAGAATGTAAAAAGAAGAGTTTTTGTATGTATGGTTAGTTTCAAACTGAAGAGGTAATCTTGATTTTTAAAATACTGTATGTCTGTCTCATGAAATTTTAGAAATCAGTGCTTTGTATCTTCTAGGTTGTGACTAAAGTTAAAAATAATATAGAAAATGATTTTCTCTGCTTTGGGTGCTTAGATGGGAAGATAAGATAGAAAGTGTCCTTGAAGATTTCAACATAAACTTCTTTCTGTTGAAGGAGCGTATTAATTCTGTGCAAAATGCACAGAGATCTCCTATGTTTCTGTTTAGGTTGGTATTTTCAAAGAGTAAGTTATATTCTGACCTGATCTTCTAAAATAATTTCTGTTTTTCAGAGGTGATCTAGTGCTTGCATCTCCTTGGATTCTTTCTTGGGTGGCAGTGGAAGTAGCAACTTTGAGGGAGGGAAGTGGTTAATGCTTGAGCAGATCCAAACCAAATAAGCAGTAAATTTATATTAGAGTCTCCCTTTCAGCAGCAAAATGTACTGTTCTGATGCTACTGGTACAGAGCAGGAACAGTACATACTATTTCTTATGTTGGAACATATTGATTAAAAGAAATTATGCAACACCATGCAATTATTACCTTAAAATTAAAAACTCTGTCAGTTTTGGGTTAGGAATGAGAAAGGCTTGGCTAAATATAATAAACATGTTTATTTGGTTATTAACATGTTGTCCATGGTTGTAGGATTATGTTTCACTTATCCAGTCTACATATTTGACTTCCTTATAATTTAGCAAAATGAGTTGCTTGGTGGTTAGTGCTTTCTTTTAGGTTCATTGATGGAGATAAAATAGTTTTGGAACTCTCTGGTACGTAACTTACTAGAGTTGAACTATCAAACTTTCCATGAAATATTTATATATAGTGTTTGCAGAAAAACTACCTTTTGGTAAAGATCCTGTGATCTTGTTTGTAATTTTTTGCAGAGGATACAGTTTTTTTAATATAATTGATGGCACAGTGTTATATAAAACCTGTTGATGTTTGCATGCTTTTATCTGTGCTCCATTCAGATTTAAGAAGAATGTAACTCAAGAATTAGGGGAACTGCTTACTCTAATCCTTTGACTCTAGTTATTTTCAGTTATGGTCTTCCAAAAGAAAGTTTTGATTATATAGTTATTTTGATGTATTTTGCTGTTTTATCCTGGTGAACTGAATACATTTTCTTATGTCAATTGATGTAAACTTTTCAAGTAGAGAGAAACACTGTTACCAACAAAACTAAAGCCTTGTTTTGCTTTTTAAGAAAATAAGTGGTGGATAACTGGCCAGATTTCTCTAATGTTATATGAAAGTCGAATAGCTACCCAGTCTCAAAAATAGTCAGATTTGTTTGACGTGAGAGTGCAACATTCTGGAGGATAATTTAGTGTCTAACTCTGACAAAAATCATGTTTTTGCCCCAACATGATTGGTGTGATTGAATTTTATATTTCAAAACCATGTAAAAATATTTAATGAATGCAATTACTTTTATTCTAAAGTATTTTAGTATTGCTTTAACTTTTATGGCACCTTTATAGCTGGAGTATTTTTTTATAGTTGTGTAGTGACTGTTTTGTGACGTTTTACATACTACCATTTTAGTTTCAAGTACTGTTTGTGAGTGGGTTTATCCAACAGCTTTCCTAGAGTTCTACTTACTTGGGGTAAAATTACACACATGCGTTTTTGTGCTTGAGGTGTTGTGGGCTTATTTTTTTGTGTGTGTATTGTTAAGTGATGCACTTGCCTAAAATACGGGTGTCCTGGTTTAACAAAGTTGTTGACCGACTTGGGGGAGTCTCTCAGCAACCAGGACAATCAGGGAGCTGGAGCTTGTGACCTGGGAGGAGAGGTGAAGGGAATTGGGCTTGTTCAGCCTGGGGACGGTGTTCTTCCAAGGTCTCTTCCAACCTGAGTGATCACCTCAAGATTGGGATAACCTTGAGGTTTCAGCATTTATGACCCTGTTTCTGTTTTGCAACTTTGGACTTGCAACAGGGGAAACTCTGCCCAACTGTAAGTGGATGAGAAACAGACATGAGTTGCTTTTCGTAATGGAGAACTGACTCTGTGATGGACAGAGGAGGCGCACACACATTAATAGATTAGTGTGTGAGAATCCGTGAAAACTGTAAATAAATGTTTTGAAATAAATATTCATGAACACATGTTGTGCACTTGACCTGCATTGCTAATTAAGGTGTCTCTTCAAAGGGAACATCATGGGAATTATGTAAATAATTTCTAAACAATGAAGATAAGCTCAAGATGTCAGTGTATTTCAAGGAGTTCTTGTGATTATGCTGTCCCTCTTCATCCTCTCCCTCTCTCCAGACCTAAAGCAACCAAACTGTGACTGTGATAGGAAAGAATGAAATTAAAGTATCTTCGGATCTGTCATCCATTTCTTAATGCGATAAAGAATGCACCTACCTTTTCTTTGACAGATACAGAATAAGTGAATTGCTGTTTGTCGTGTCATATTAATTGGAGTGTTTTATCCTTTTGTCAAAGTGAACATGCCATGAAATACAAGATAAAGAGTAACACTTCATGAAAAGGTTGAGAGCTTGTTTAGTAATTGGTTAATGTAAATTATAGAGCTATTCAACTTTAGATGAGAGCTTCCTAGTTTTGGGTGAGTCTCAAACTAGAGACGTTTTTATAGTGCTTAGTGTTTTTGGTATTTAAAAAAGAACATCTCTGTATTCTATGAATTACATAACTGCAAGAAGCAGTAGTAAAACACTTGTTTTTGGCTGGCTTTCTGAGCATGTGAACCAAGCATGCCATTAATCTCTAAATGCTATTGTTGATGTAGGATTTTTAATGTATCAATATATGTGAATTTAGTGCTAGAATTTTCTTACTTGGAAAGATCTTGGATTCCTAGCACTAATTACTGTGTGCGCATAAGAAATATCATTTCTGACCAATCTGGCAGAGGTGGTTCTTCACACAGAACAGTGGACTCACTAGAACCCTGGTATTGTGCTTTTTTGCAGTTCAGTGTCTCTGTGATGGTTAACGTGTTTCTTTTTTAGGCATTTACATTTATATTCCTACCTTAAGTTTCTGAACTAATAATTGTGGCTAGCTTTGTTGTGCTCTGTAAGAAATACCTTTTTTACGTGATTTTTTTTTCCCTCTTCCTGCTAAGGATTATGTACTGAAGGTCTGTACCGTGTTAGTGGAAATAAAACAGATCAAGACAATATTCAGAAGCAGTTTGATCAAGGTAATTATATATTTTATTATTTAAAGACAAAATAGTTTTATTTCTCCATAGATTTTTATCAGACAGTGCAATATGAGTTGTATCTCTGACTGATTTTTATAGCACTGATTGCCTGATGCCCTTGTGTACTGTATTGGTGTAGCCCATTTGATAACCAGAGGTGCAATGCACTGGCTACTGGCAATGTCACTGGCTACAAAAATTATTCTCCATCCTTCATTTGTGTTGTTCGTGAATTTCCTTTTATGAGAAACATAGCAATTAGATGAACCAGTCTGATTTTGCTTAGCATTTCTTACCTATTTAACAGGTATTTTTGTTCTGTTACCTCTCAGATGGCTATTAGTTATCTAGCTGAAATATTGCATCTTAGGTTAGTAGTTCATCAGTCCTAGGCATTTAGCTCCTTTTGGTTTTAAACCAAAAATATCTTGGTATTTACATTAGTGAAATAATCTGCATTAGCAATTAGATATTGATAATAAATTTCTAATACAGTCTTTATTGAATGCTAGAATATATTGAAATATGATATGAAATATGATATGAAATATATGCTGTTCATTTTGATGTCTTAAGAGACAGGGCCTGCATTATTTTTTCCCTCATGTTTATTCGTTTAGTTTATATATTTGATTATTCTATTTCAATATTGGATAATATTGGATTAATATTGGATATTAATCATGAAGTTAAGTCCATGGAAAAGAAATCATCCTAGTGAAATTTTTACTGTATGATAGCCCAGATATTTGGGTTTTTTTGCAATATTCATGTTGTTCTAGGCCTATTTTAGTCTGACGTGTTAGATATTTTTCAATCACCTTACTGCAGGATCTTCTAGAGTTTCGGATAAATTGTTATAAATAAAACTGTTCTCAAAAAGTCACCTTTGAAACAATTGAATTGGAACGTTTTGGGGGTCTGCAGCCTGGTATGGTTCCACTTTTGGATTAAAAATTATGTAGCACTCTAGATTTCAAGTTTTTAAAAAACTAGTTATAAAACATGTAATTTCTGGTATTTGGGATTTAGCAGTAAGTTGTTCTGGTCGTGTGTAATTTTTGGGATGTTTTGTTGTCTGTGCTTAAAGACTTCAAAGATGGCCACATGAACAAGATCACATTCATTATTAAAATTGATATACTTTGTACGAGTTATTTTTATTAATTGGGGAAATGGCATTTAAAACTTACTGTTGGACGAAACCAATCAGAAGCCAGTTAAGGTCCACACGGAGAGTTAAACAACTCTTATTTCCAAATAAACAACTCCCTCCACCAAATCCTGTACTGGGTGCGTATTGTGTGTGTGTTGGGTTTGGTGCTTTGTTTGTTTGTTTTTCCTTCCCATCTTTTGTTCTCTTACTTGAGTACGTATGGGTCAAATATGTCAATTAATCCACTGGTGCACTTTTTCATGTGCCACTTAAGTTTGGAAACCCTTTCATTTTTGGTGTTTTTATAAAATTCTTATTTTCACTAAAATACTATGAGGAATAATAGCTTTAGGTTTTGCTTATATTGCTGTTAAATTTTGTCTTACAGATCACAGTATCAGTCTAGAATCTATGGAAGTGACAGTAAATGCTGTGGCTGGGGCTCTCAAAGCTTTTTTTGCAGATCTGCCAGACCCACTGGTTCCTTACTCTTTGCATCAAGAGTTGTTAGAAACATCAAGTAAGTAATAAATGATTTTGTCTTTGTCAATTTATGGATTGTACTTACTATATTTTTAAAATTCATTCTAAGTTGAAATAACCAGCTACATGGAAATAGTGTTTTTCTCTCTTTTTTTTTTTTTTTAAACTGCTTAGGCATGTGCATTTTATTGATACGCTTAAAACTGACAACTATGACACAAATAACCTGATTGTATTTATTTTTTTCTAAATTGTAGTTTTTTATTTCCTATCCTTTCAGACAATTTAATTGGGGGAATCTGTTTTGTTCTGTTATGTATATTGCTGTGCATATGATGAAGGTTTAGAACTGTGTTTCAGTTGTTAATGAGTTTCTATTCCTTCTATAATACAAATCACCATGGAATGGAAGTGCAAACGGCAGAATGTTTAGTTCTTCAGTGTTTTAGTGTTTTTTTTTTGTTTTGTTTGCTTTTTTGTTTTCCCACAAGTGGTATAGTACGTCAAAAATGTATTTATGTAGAATAGGAATTTATGGAAGATAATTATGAGTGGGTGGGTGAGCTATACTGTTCTTCCTCCCTATGTGGATATTTGTTAGGATAATATGGATTCATCCAGTCCTTACACATAGAATGTAAGGTTGGTTTGTAGGAAAGTCCTGTTTTATCTACTGTAGAACTTGCAGGTTCTGGAATTTTGTATTTATTGACAGATCCTGAGTTACATGAACGCAGTTGATCCATTTCAAGTTGCAAAACAGTACTGACTTGTCATTATATATAACAGTAACACAAATAGCTAGTATTTTATTCCCTAGTCCTTTTCTTTATGTGGCTTAATCACTCTTTGAAAGAAACAATATCCTGTGAGTCTGTGAGAATCTTTCTCCTTTAAAAATGTATTTTAATAGCCACATCAAGCTCATTCATATATTTGACTGACAGGCTTAAGATGCTCAAGTTCATGAAAGTACCTTCCTTCCCTAAATTCTCTATAGAACCACACTCCGAATAAATCTTACAGAATATTTTAAGTTGTAGTGTTTTGCAAACCGAGGAAAGTCTAACAGGAAATGATCCTGTTGCATTGTTATCCATCATTCTGCAAGACAGAAGCGAGTTAGTGAAATGATTTTCTGCTGTTAAGGACAGAGAAATAATTCTATTTAAGTACAGAAAAATATTTGCATGTATTATTACCTCTTTATGATGGAGGATTTAATCTTCACAATAATACGTAGGTAGGAATTTTATAGATTTTTGTTTTTTGATGTTTCTCTGTGGTTGCCCTTATACTGGAAAAAAAACAAGATTTAGCAACACATTATTCAGTCTTCATAAATGTATGATAAAATGTCACTTATATCTGTAGAGATCCTGGATAAAACAGAACGACTGCATGAGTTAAAGGAAATTGTGAAGAAATTCCCTCCTGTGAACTATGATGTCTTCAAATACATAATAACACATCTAAACAGGTTCAGTATTGTTTTTCTATTAAATTTTTATTTGTATCAATTGCAAGCAAATATTTATACTAGTAACAATTAGTGGACCATTAAAGCTGAATTTCATTTTTGCATTGTTCACTTGCTAGTATAGAAGTTGAAACTAGTAGTTAAAAAGGCTGATTGGAAAGCCATTCCAAGAAAATACTGCATGTTCTTTTCTATGTGTAAATACCTAGCATCACCACTACTGCATAGAATCACTACTATAAAAATATTGAGAGGGCAAATGTACACCACATTTGCCATTTTCTTTGAGGAGGCAGGTGTTTAAGTCATAGATTAATATGGCTTTTCTAAATTTACTGTAAGCTCACGTTAGAAGAAGTATACTATCTCATAACCTGGCTTTTATGTGCACAGTTGTGGTCATAAAAAGACAAAAAAAGACCAGTTTACTCATGATTCTTACTTGGCTGAAGCAGGATTATTCTCTGAAGGCTGCTCAGGCTACTGACATACTTGAATAACAGGTAGAATTAGCATCACCGGCCCTAAAACAAAATCTAAACTTGTTTAGAAAAAGCATTGTTGTCCAGCAGCCACGATTTAAGAAGTAGCTAGTGTTTTTTTCTATTCATTTTGGACAATTTTGTATATATAACATGACATACCATATATGCCATTATATACCATATACTGTCTTTGCTATTATATATCATGATGTTTAAGTTACAAAATTGTTTCAGACTAGTGTTTTTGTAGTTTTGGGCATTTAAATAGAAAATAGAATTTTAAATAGAAAATTTGATAGAGGAAGGAAAAACTCTTTGAAATTACTGAGCAAGATTATAGTCATATGTTTTGGGGATATTTTTTCTGAATCGAAGTAAAGCATAATTATTTTAGAAAAACGAATTTGAATGTTACCTTCATTGAGGAATAGTGTCCAAGTATCCTTTGGACCCATTTTATTCAAAACAGATTGCGAGTATTTGTGTATGCTCGCAGTATTTGGAATAAATAATGTGCTTGTTAAAACGTAAGTCTATCCCTTATAGTTGGTGCTATAAATGCTTTGTAAATTAACGAAAATATTTTCTTACAGTAGTAATTGTAGTGCTTATTATGACTTTCAGAGCTTTTGAATCCATGGATTATAGCCAGCTGAAATTCTTGCAGTCTGTTCTTGCTGATCATCAAAATTGAAATTACAACTGACAAGTTGCTGAAGTGTTTTTTTTTTTTTTTTTTTTTCTCCCTTTTTTCCGGGGAAAACTGCAGCTCTCAGTTACTTATGTCCCATCTACTATAACAGGACTGACATAATTCCAGCTGAGTATCTTAGCTGGGAATCTTTGTCTCTTAGTTTTGTTTATATAGAATTTCTAATGCTCACTGTTAGATAAAATTGTGATATTAATTTAGAAAACAAAATAGTTTTGGAAAACAAAGTTCTGACTCTTTTCTAGACTATCATTAAAAAAAAAAACGGATTGTGAGGAAGCATTTAATTGTAGATGATAACTTTAGTACCAGAATTTTTTTTTTTTTTAAATCATGTTCTATTGCAATAGTACTGTAATAATGAATTTAGGTGATAGGTGAAGAGCCTGTGTCAACACCTGCAAAAAACTAGGCAACATTAAGGACAACAAACATGACTGGAGGCCTGTGTCATAAATCCAAGAAAAATAAAGATTTTTTTTTTTTATCTTATGTAGTAATACGATATCTGAACAATTATAGAAAAGCAAGTAGAAGCAGAAAATTTAATTGGAACTTAACAATACGGAAAGGTAATTTCAGCTTTCATTAGGAAGTTATATCTAGATAAAAAGTACTTCTCATGTCAGGAGTGAATTTGATTATTTTAAGGTCTTATTATATCATTATTTTAGTCCCTAGCAATTGAAGGAAAAGCACATAAGTAGTACAGCATTTCAAAGACTTTGTCTTCTGTCTTTTTGGAAAATCAAGTTCAAATATGTCTTCAACCTGAGAAGAATCCTCATCATTCACGTCACATTCACGGACAGCAGCCATACCATCATGCTGATAAATTCTGGGACTTTTCTCAAAATGTCTCAGGAAAGGGCATCTGCTTCAAATTCTATATCTGGATCTTAGGCCAATTTCCAGTGGTGTGGAAGTTGGGCCCAATTCCATTACTAGCCAGTACAAAAGTAAAAATCTGCAGAGATGTCTTTTAATTGATATTTTAATTTAGTGTTTATTTTAAGCATATAATAAAATATGATCCCTTTTTCCTTTGAGTGCCATAAGTGTCGGTTAATATTTAGCTGTCCTGTAGGAAGAAGCAGTTTTGTTCGTTTTTCTCCTGGACATTTTACTGGGCTTGACTTAGTAGAATATGAAGTCCTGTACGTGGATGAGGAATTTGAAGTGTCACTTTTATTGTCACTTAAAAAAACAGGCAGAAAGTTTTTGAACTTTTCTCTTGATTCAAAGTGTAATCAGACTTCTAATTTGTTAGCTGTCAAAAATCTGAAAATGTTTTTGTTCTTTTGTGTAATTGCTTTCGGGAAACAAGGACTATTGTTTTAATGGGTAGCGGGAGACAAGGAACAGAAATCCTTAAGGTTTAAAAATAATCTTATAGTCAGGAAGTAAGGAAAACATGTTGAACATGCTGGTTGTTTACCATATACCATTTTTAATTAATTATGTGCTTGTTTTTCTGTTCCAGGGTTAGTCAGCAATATAAAACCAACTTTATGACTGCTGATAACTTATCGATTTGTTTCTGGCCTACTTTGATGAGACCTGATTTTGAAAACAGAGCGTTTTTATCTACCACCAAGATCCACCAGTCAGTAATAGAGACCTTCATTCAGCAGTGTCAGTTTTTTTTCTACAATGGGGAGGTGGTAGAAGCACCTACGGCAGCGGCCTGTCAGCCCCCGCCCTCCAACCCAGTGCAGATGGTGGAGCCCATGGTGCCTCTGCAGCTACCGCCGCCGCTGCAGCCGCAGCTCATACAGCCCCAGCTACCAGCAGACCCTCTTGGTATTATATAAACATAAGATGATTGCAGGCAGCCTGGCCATGGACAGTAAGGAAAAGCTTGTAGACATGCATGTTTCAGGATACAGTAATGTACTTCATATTTATGAAAAAAAAAATTCACATCCAACTGATCGGACATGTTTTTTGTTATATCCCGTACTGTGTTCCTCATTTGTACATGCTGCAGATGATTTAAAAAAAATGTGATAAGCATGACTGGAGAGGTTTAATTTTTAAAAGCAAAAATAGCTATAAAGTACAAAGCTGCTGCTGCATGATACCTTATTGCAATCACTATATCATTCCTGTGACAGTTTGTCACAATATATTGTGAATAAAATTTTTCTATAGAAATTTAATGATTTAAAAATACATTTATGAAACATTCAGTGCTTACAGCCTGCTTTATGGCTGTTTTTGTTATTTAACATGCTATTTTTGGCAATTTTATTCACCTTCAAGCGTTCTGTGTAAATGACGAAAGCCCAGCTATAGTTTATTTTGTAATCTCCTGGTGACTTCTGTGACGGTATGCTTAGGATGACATATGGACGAATGAAAAGTGCACTGTTGAGAACTTTACAATCCCTTACCTTCCATCTTTTCCTGTAAGTAAGCCTGTGGAGAGTTTGTTAAGGGTGGGTAAACTTGCTTCTTATTTCTTACAGCACAATACCAAGGACATGCTTGTTGTAAAAGTGAGTTTCAAATATTGTACAAAAATTTTGATGTTGCCTACTTATTTCTTTTATGTTCCATTACTGAACTAAACATTTTGTAAAACTGTTAATTCTGTAAACAGCTGCATGTTTAAAAGATCATTGATGGTCTTGTAAACTTAATCTAATATATTTTAGATATTTTAATTTTTCCCACTTGGGAATACATTTAGTGTTTAGAAAATAGTTCATGACATTTTCATATAAGGTTATATAACTTTTCATACATAAACATGAACTTTGTTGTAGTAAAATTCTCTAAACCAAACAACGTTTTAATCTAGGACTTCAATTAATCTATTCTTTAAATCTATTTTTATGTGACCCTTTAAAGATATACAAAAATGCATTGCTAATACATAGCAATAAATACTTTGGGTACTGACAATTAACCTCTTTGGAGTGTGTATATATATAAAATCACATAAACTTGTATTCATATTTTTTTCCTGTGGTATGTTGTACTAAAAATTCAAATGACTGATTTTGTTTTTGCACCATTTTTTTAATGTTATCTTTTTTTTGTCTTTTATTTTCCTTTTACATTGGTACCAATTTTGCTGTAAAACAATGCTGCTTAATTTAAACAAATCTTTTGGTTAAATATTTTGTTAGTGGTTTAAAAAAAAAAAAACAAAAAAAGAAGGTTACAAACTGTAGCTAAGGGGCGACCATAGATAAAGACTATTTGTAAGAATTCTCATAGCAGCTTTTTTCTTTCATGCTCAAAATTTACCTTTTTAGGTCTGCAGAAAAAAAGAAGTTTTGACTCATACAGCTGCTAGAATGTTTTGTGTAGTTTAAAAAAAAAAAAAAAAAGCTTTATGATGGTCACTGTTGTAATCTTCACTTATAACAAGATTTAAGATCGTCTTGTATGTATTATAGTAAATAGATGATTTTGAGAATTAAGGCTCTTAAGAGTTTGATTTGCTCCATTTTCCTAAAATAAAAATTGCCTTTCCCACTTAGTGTCCTAGGTATTGTACTTCTAATTATGTCTTGAATTCTCATTTTAGATTACTATGATACCGTAAACATGGCTGCTGTTTAAAAGTACGTGTATATTATAAATTCTTGATATTGTGTTATATTCTTGCAAGTAATTATCTTTTCTAAGAAAACACAAAACAGAAAAAAAGAGAAGCCACCCCTATTCCTATTGCAAAGCACACAGGAATCGATAGTACAATAAAGTCTGTCCTGTAAATTGTAGTATTCCTAACTTGTTCTACCTTACATCTGTTGTCTATATAGCCTTTATTTATAGTTGTCAGTCTAACATTGGCATGTTCAGCAAAAAAATTAAACTTCAAGAGTTTTATAAACTTATTTCTAGGTTGCTAAAGAGTTTATTTTTCTACTATAAATGGTATAGACAAAGTATCACCTGTACAGCAAGCAAGCCTATTTCTTATAGAAGTGAGCTTAAAAATAAATGCCAGTCATATCCATATTTAAAAGTTCTATCTACTAAAGGATCTCCAGTCTTTGTAATGTGAATTACCTTTTAAACTTTCTATGAATTCCAAGTTGTTTGCCATAATATTTTAACTGAGCTTTGATTTACAGTTTTTAGAAAAATCTTCGACATTCCATTTCATCATGAGCTTTCGTGTTGCCAGATGTTCTAAAATACTTGCCGTATCTTTTACTTCATGTGAATGCAGTTGTCACTAACTCTTTATTGCTTGTTTAAATTCAGCACTTGCATATGGCCACATTTGAAAGTATTGTTACATATACCAGGTAAAATATGAGAAGAAAAATTTCCCGAAGTAAGCACAGCGTGTGATACTTGGCTGTCACGAGAAGGGATTCCTGTGGAGAGGTGGCTTCAGAGGAGTGTTACATGTGGGAATGTGGATGTCCGTGTGCATTAGATATGCTTGGAAATGTTTGAGTGCTTGTGTTCCAGTACACAAGCACATGTGCTTGCAGGCACATACACCCGTGTCGTAAAAATAAAAAAATAAAAAAAAAAGTAGGAAATTCTACCATCTGTATTAAAGATTTATAATAGAGCTTTCTCTCTTACTATTTTTATTAGCACTATAAAATGAGGAAGCATGTTGATATATACAGAATCCTCATACTTTGGCTCATGTAGTCCCTTATAGTTTTGTTTTAATGAAAATCCAAACAATAACTATTTTTGAATGTGAGCATTTTTACAGTAATAACGATCTTGATAAAAAATACAGATATATATTACTTTGGCTTGAGCATCTCAGTGACTATGGAGTAGTTTTTTTGTCTTTTTAATATAATTTTGTTATAAACATTCTGTAGTATATTGTTTTTCAGTGTTGCTTCAATGATTTTAAAGTGCCATACTTGAGTTATAAAAGTGCCATTTCAAGTCATGCTTAACTGGTTATTTTACAATTCTTACCTCTCATGATTTGAGGCGTTTTTAACCTATAGTGTGTAAATAGGTCGCAGGTGTCAACCTAAGTGAAAAGAACACTTCTTTTTTTTTTTCCATTGTATGTTTTCTCCATTATTTCAATACTGGTGGTAGACAATTATAGCTGTGTCTATTTTTAGTTGCTGGAAGTTGGCTGCTAATATTTATGATCATTTTAGAAAAATTATCAATTAGAAATCAAAAGCAAAAATTGCCCTTAGCTTCTATGCTTATTTCAGTTTTTTTACAGTAATTGTGATGCTGTTTGTCAACTGAAGAATTACATATATATATATATATACAATTTTTCAAGTCAAACTTATTGTTCTTTGTTTATAATGTAATCCTCTGTTGCTACAACAACAGAATACTGCAGTAAATTAAATACCAGTGAAGCTTATTCTGTATAAAAAATGCAATGAATAAAATACTAAGATGCTTATTGTGTATAATGTTCAGTTTAGTTGCCTGCTAAATTTTTCAAGGCAAAAGCACCCTATTGTCTCTTCATGTGCACGGAAATGAAATTTAGCAGTAAATTTTGCTAAACTGAGTGTGCCAAACGCTTTAGGAGCTCATCTGGGGGGGAGGCGCCTCTCTCGGGATCTTTGGTTTCTTTTAAACTGCTGAATTCTGGAAGTTACTCTGTTGCGTGGATTTTTAAGAACCAAAGCGGGTTCATGGGGTGAGTGCTGGGCTTGCCCGGGGTGCGGGCGTCAGCGCCCGCCCTCGGTGCCCGTTGCTGCCGCAGTGATTCCGTGTCCCGCGGGAACGGCGCAGCGCGCGCTGCGCTCGCCGCCATCTCGCCTTTCACCCGATTGAGTTGCTCACAAGAAATAGGCTGTAATTACAGAAATTATTTTTTTTCAGATTTCTCTCCTGCTAGAAGTACGGTTCAAAAGTGAAAAGAATTATTTTCGCTTGCTTGCATGTTTAGTTTTTATCCTTATCCTCCTCCTTTTTCTCCTCACCCACCCCGAGTTTTTGAACCTGAAATAAAAACTGCATGATTTGAGAGCAGTTTTGAGTTCTGAGCATTGTGTATTGATCATATTCTGCTCATTGTGTGGAATAAACCCAGCTCTCAGTTCAGAACTTGATACTCGTCCTGCTTTTAGTTCTTGTGCATGCACCATTGATGCCTAGTTCCTTCTGTGTGCCTTGAGAAATGGAGCTAGTGCAGAAATAACTGCAGAAACTTCCTGGGAGCCTTCACATTTGAACATTGTTAAGTTTTATTATAAATCAATGTACTCAGCTGTTGGTCATTTTCATCTTAAATGGAATGTTTCTTTATATCTTAGTGTGAAAATCTAATTTAACTTTTTTAGACTGTCTTAGGAAAAAAGAAATCTGAAGTCTGAAGTATATGCAATACTTGACCTCTACAATGTGTAACTTGCTGATGAATAGGCATAGATAGGTAACCAGAGTGTAAAACTAGCATTCCCATAAGTCAAGTTTATTCCACCACCTAATTCATAGGGTTTCCAGGGAGTTGGGAAGGATGAATGTGATGTGTCACTCTGCTGAAAGGGAACACTTGCTTTTCTTACCAACAGATGCCCTGCTCAGGTGCGTTGCTGGTGCTCGTCGTGGCGGTTGCCCGTTTGCTTCTCATGTGCTAAGTGCCATGTGCGTGCAGGTCCCCGTTGGTGCTGTGCAGAACTGAGTGCTCCTGCTGCCTCGCCAGCATTCTGGTGACACTGATGGTGCGGAACATGGCTTAATACACCTGAGTACATCGTTCATAATTTGTTCATTACTGATTTAGAAAATGCAAAGAATTAAATACTTTCACTGAGTGCCTACAGCAATAATTTGTGGGTTTTCTGTTTGTTTCTTCTTTTTTCTTTTTTTTTTCTTCTCACATCTTAGGAGCATGATAATGATGAAAAGCCACTGTTGCTTCTGCTTACAGGCTGCTTTGAATGGAGAAAAGATGGGAAGGGAATCTCCTGATGGTACCTGTAGCCATGTCTGTGCTACAGGCCTTGATCTCTAGGACACTCCGTGTAGGATGCAGGATTTTGCCAGTTCTGAGTGTGCAAGTCTTGTCATGTTATGCTTGGTGCTTTCTCTGTGCTTTATCTGCCTTGTGACAACTACTGAGCAAACAAGTTGGTTGGGGAGCATTGCGAAGAAGGCCTTGTCACTGCAGCAGGAACAGATGCACTGCGTTGAAGAGCACTTGCGGCTGCTCAAGGGACTAGCAGACCTCAATAGTGTAGCTGTAGTTTCTATTTTTTCCAGCATTACAGCATCATACTGTACATGTTCTAAACTATATCCCCATTGGATATTTCTGCTTCATAAATTAAAACCTGAAGAGAAAAACTAGCTTTTCTCATGTTTTCCTGCAGTTTTGTCAGCTTTGCCATGCATGAGAGGTCTGTAAGGGACTCGAGTCACTCTTGCAGAGAGAATGTACAGACCTGTAAGTTGTATGAGCTGAAATTGGTCAGTTGACATGAAGAGACATGGAGTAGCGAAGCATCTGTGGAAAGATGGAGTTGCTGTTAAACTACACTGCTGCTGTTAAACTACACTGGTTTCTGCTCTAAAGTTCTGCTGCTAGTACTTGACAGCTACAACTGTACGTCTGCTGTGACCACCTTTACTGAATCATTCACAATCCTGAGCAAGAGTTGGGAAGGACGAGATCAAGAGAACTGCCTCAAAGAAATAACGTACTTTGAGCAATTGGATAAAACCATTAAAGACAAAATGTAGCAAAATAATCCCAAAGAACAAAATAGCCGTAATTGGAATATCATATGTACATCTATCCTACACACATGCATAAAATATGTACATATCCCTTTGTAAAGAGTTAGACGTTGGTAGTAGTGTTACTAAGCTAGTAAAAATTGTTAACAGATGGTCAGTCTGCTACAGATAATTAGTACTTACATTTGTTTTTCAAAACTGAAAATCTGAATTGTAAGTAGACTTAGCATTTTGTTATTCATCTCGAGATGTTTAGTCTAACCTTATCTGTGCGGTCACTTCTTGTTAAAACAGCCTGGGAGCTGCACAAAATTTCAAGTAGTCGATCGGTCTTACGTCCCATTCCCTCTGCACTTGCTCGCATGCGCTTGCCTGCTCTTTTGGACGGGATGAGTCTGGTCTGTGTCTGCAGGACGTAGGGCACTGTGACTCTGTGGCTGGAGACTGGAATTGCTAAAACAGATGTCATGATCTCTTTCCATCCCCTAGCCTAAAATTGTGGTCTCCTTTTAGAAAGGACTGTTGGAAAGTACAGTTAGGAGCCAATGTAGAAATGTACAAGTTAAGCATTAGGAATCCTTAGCGTGTCACTGAGGTGAAGATCTCGCCTGTATTGGGCTCCCTTCCTGCCCCAGGAGCTTGTTTTTAGAGGGCTTTTGAGCCTTCCTGTGAGATTATAGGGGAAGGAGTTGGGTGAACCCCATATCCTTCTCTTTAACCTCAAAGGCCACCCCTGGTCTTACAGAGGCTGGTGCCCAAAATCCCTTA